TCGCCGCTCGGGATCTTGGGCACGCACGCACACGCGCCTGGCGTGAGTTTAAGCCACCGGGTCTGGGACTCGAACCATGGTCGACGACGTGGGAGTCCGGCGACAGCCATTACACCGACTCTGACCCTGGCTCTTACCAGATGCGCTCCAGGCGAGTGCAGGCCACTGCTTTCCCCTCTGAGCTCATCCCCTCCACCCCCACTCCCGCTCAAGCACCCACAGCTCGAGAGACCACACGCAGATCTGGCAGCGTGGTGAGGCCAGGCCTGTGCCTGGTACTCTGCAGACGCAGCCAGCCTGGCTCCTCGTGCGTCTGAGCTCCGGCGGCTCCGAGACCCTCCCTCCGTAAGGGGGCCTGGGCCCGCACACAGGCAGACACGGAGTGGGCACTGCGCCGCCCGGCGTCAAGACAGCCACTGCTCTTGGCCCGAACCCTGCATCCCCAGCCCTCTGGAAGTGCCGGGGGTGAGGCCGGCTGGCGAGGGTGGAATGTGGGCGAGCGCGAAGGCCCACTGCCCCCACCCCATGCGCGGCCTGGGCATGACCCTGCAGGAGCACGAAGAGCCACTTACTAACACCTGAGGGCCCAGAGGGGACGACGTGGCCGTCAGCACAGCAGGGACAGGAGAGGCACGATGGGAGCCGTGTAAGGGATGGAGGCGACATGCACAGCCGCTGACAAGACGGCGACACACCAAGGTGAAAAGGGGACAGTGGCCGCAGGACTGGCCAGGCCCCTGCGCGGTGAGGGGTGGTGTGGCCCGCGAGTGCCCGGGTGGCTGTGAAACCTCAGGGAAGTGGCTCTCCCCCTCGGAGCCACAGGGCCACGTCTGCGACGGGACAGGGCGTACAGCCGGGTGGGTGCCGACGGCCCCTGACTTGCTCACCACCACGGAGGTGCAGGTGGTGACGTTTCAGGCACGAAGACCCCGCACTGAGAAGGCGCCGGGAGGGAACGTGGACGCTCCTAGAAGACCCTGGAGGAGAAGGCGCCGGAGGGAACATGGACGCTCCTAGAAGGCCCTGGAGGAGAAGGCGCCGGAGGGAACGTGGACGCTCCTAGAAGACCCTTAAAGGAAGAAACGAGAGACACGAAACCAGAACTGGGAAAAAGCAGGGCTAGAGGAGCAGGT